AATTGTGTAAGCATACAAAGCCTTGTTAGTCTCTTTAATTATGTATGCTTTTCCCCCTTCTTTGCTCAGCTCTCTCTCTCTCTCTCTCTCTCTCTTTCTCATTTTCTCTCTCTGGTTTCCCCTCTTTGCCTCCATCTGACTATCTCCAAGAACCACTTTATATAATTCTCTGTCTTTCTGTCTGTATGTCTATTAATCTGTCTTTCCGTCTGTCTGTCTGTCTATCTGTCTGTCTCTCCGTCCGTCCATCCATCTGTCCCGCCGTTCGTCCGTCCGTCCGTCTGTCTGTCTGTCTGTCTGTCTGTCTGTCTGTCTGTCTCATTCAAATTGATACAATGTCCCAGCAGAATTAGACTGGGATGTAATTGTTTTCATACCTGCAAACAAAGTAAAAAGCGTAAGTCCATTAAAGTCATTCAAGACGGAATGGTTTGTCAGTCCTTAGACCTTCTGATAATAACTTTGGTTTAATGGGGCGAGAGAAAAAAAGTCACCCTTTTCTGGTGGGTGGGCGTAAATGGGATTTTTATTTGAATTTATTTTTATTGCTGGGATCGGAGGATGCAGTGTTTTATTAGCGGATAAAGAAAACATGGTATTTGAACATTTTTCCCTTAACAGCATCGTTTTATCTAAGTTTGCTTTTACTATTGGGGTTGTAGAAAGCCATGTTTTATACGCAGTCAAAGAGAACAGGTTTTGAAAAACTATTTCCCTTGGCCTTAACAGCATAGGATCTATCCTCCTCGTCATCATTATCAGCCTCTTTATCATCAACATTATCCGCCTGCAAATATTACAAGTTCTAAATTGTCATTTCCCATGGTTCATATTAGGGATAAAAACAAACATGTGAGGATAGAAAGAATGAAGGCTTTAAAAATAGCATCCACTTGAAAAAGTTATTTACATAAGAATACATGAAAAACACACAGTGATAATATTATGACAGTGATTGCACCAAAACCGAAAAGAGACGCGCTCACTTACACAGGTCGGTGTGATGTGAACATAATATTTAATTAATTATGATCGACATTGATTAACCTCTTGTTCCTCTTACGTCCCATCGTTTTTCATCTATTTCCTCGCCAAAGACAAGTGCTCACACAGAAGAACTCACACAACCAGAGAAACGTAAGAACATTTTTGTGATACTCTTCTGGACCTACCGTGTTGTCTTGTCTCAATGTTGTAAGAAAAAGCATGTGTCACGGCGCAGTGGTATCACGCGCTTGTCAATTTTGGGGCATGTTGACTTATTGGTATCATCTTAAAGGTTTATTCACTTGCCTTGCTCTCGATGAAAAAAAAACAACAACCCAATTTATCGTGAATAGAAGTCGATTTATTTGCGGTTGAAGGAGGTGGGGTTGCGGATTTTTGACGTAAAATTAGCGAGAAAATGGCAGCCAACGTTTGGTGACTTCTAGTACTTAAGAGCCCTTAGAAACTGAAAATGTACATTTTTTGTGCCTTTAATCAGTGTCTGTCAGTAAAATCCGCACATGAAGTGTTTTTGAAAGGGGAAAACAAACTGTTGAGGCAAAAAATAAACATGTGAAAAGAATGTCAATACTGGAACCCCCCCCCCTCGGATTTCATTATTTTGGCGAGCGCCTGATTTCGCCACGATTTCTCAATTAAATAATATTTCCTCGCCAAAGAGAGGTGCTCAAACATCAGAACTCACTCAAACACAAAAAAAGTAAAAACTGTTTTGTGCCACTCTTTTTTATCACGTTTGATTGGACCTATCGTGTTATCTTGTCTTATCGTTGTAAGAAGAATAGATAGATCATTGTAAGTTCAGCAAACCGTGATCGTTTCTATATTGATATACGGGGTGTCCATCGCGGAATCGGGTCGGATCGGGGCGGTATGCTAGTCAGATTAAGGGCGCCAAACGGCTAACGTAGCACAAGCCGATCGCACCCGACTCGTCGTCCAATAAACAAACGCAAAAACTATTTTCAGGCGACAAGTGGGTTGATCGGCCCCGACCCCATCGCAGTGGGCACCCTGTATTAAGCAATGCCCAGCAGATAATTCTATGATCAATCTTGAGCTTCATAATTGGATAATAATTCATCTTCGATATTATGCTAACGTCAAATTACGTGCACGAGCCTCGAGATTATCGATTCATTTGTTTTGCTACAACCATTGTGACTAGCGGTACGGGCGTCAGATAGAGACTGTGCGAGTCTTAATTAAAGCAATTATCAATGTTGACTACATCGGAACAGACAGCGGGGTCCATGGAGAGGGCGCGAGGGGAGGTCAGAATTAATTATGGCTGCCACGTCGTTGTGGTCGGGGGCAGCTTGCTGTTGCACAATCATTTGTTTGTTTCGTTATTAATGAATATCCAGAACCGTAACGCCCCGACCCCCCCCCCCCCTCTCACCTCACTCAGTTTTCTTGTTCTTAATTTATTCAGTGGAAAACTAACGAGCAGTCGGATTTTCACACGTTATCCCTTTGAGCCATTGCCACCAGTACAGAGGTGAGCGAGACCCCATTCCCAAACCGGTCGCTCTGAGAGAAAAAAACAACATGAAAAACCGAGTTAACTACAAAAGGCGTTTTTGATTATTTTGAAGATCTTTCTGAATTAGATGCTGGCAATGATGAGGACTGTTTTGAGTGGGATATGGAATGTGATTCTGACGATCACATAAATGTCAGTAATATATCGCTCAGGAGCGAAGGCAGAGGGGCACGGTAGCCTCAGGAGATCAGGGCTCAAAGTGTTAAAGGTGTTATTATAATTATAGTGATTTTTGTAGTCTTGTCATGTCTAAAATTCAACACAAATATGATCTATTTGTTTTACAAATGCGTAAAATTCATACTATATAAAAAACAACAACATAACAAACAAACAGAGTCTTATGCCCTAACCTTGTATACACTCTATGTTCGTTTTCTTAAAAAAGAAGTTCCACAATATAGTTCGGCTGCTATTCAAACATTATGGAAAAAAGATACTTTGCTGTCTTTATGTAACCGTTTCATCTTCAAGTTTGGTTCATTTGATGGCATTGCTTTCTTGGCGTGTCTGGGAACACACAGTAACAAGAGCTCTTGGTTGGCTTCAAAATACAAAACCAAGAACTACCCATCTCATTATAGTCACAGACTCCCAGAGCATCCTGCCAAGCGCTGAGAAAGGGCTGCTTCGGAGTGAATAGACGAACACAATACAACACTCATCACTTAGAGCCATCACGTGGATATTCTGTCCTGGGCACTCTGGAGTAAAGGGCAATGAGGAGGCTGAAAGGCTTCCAGGCAGTGCCGTGGAAGATGGCGAGGTGATTTTTGACAAAGGAGAAGTGTTGAAGACCCTGGAGGAAAAGTTGCGGGATCAGATAGACAGGGAGACAGTAGAACTCCACGCATTCATCATGATGCGGAAAATGGGGATAGAGAGGGGAGAAGAAAGAAATGAACTATTCTCTCGAAAGGAAGGACGTCGCTATAATCAGACAGCCACTGGAACAGTCAGTATGGATTCCTTGCAGCCTTTGGTGCTGAGAGGAACTGAGTACTTATGGACCTGTCCGGTGTGCAATGACGTTCCTGCCCAGGACAGTTAATACATGCAATACAGCAACACTGGTCACATATTTCAAGTCACTCCTCAAGTGTAAACAAAACATCGGTGTTTGCGGAAAGTCATGTACCCATTGTAAGTAAAATACAACATGCAGCAAGGAATGAACAGGAGATCTGACCAATATGAGGCAGGTGCTTTCACCGAATGAGCAGGTTCCCCATGTATAATTAAAGTCGCATTGAGTAACATTTTTAGTTATCATCCATTCGACTCACAAATGCCCGTTCTAGTAATTTTTACAAAACTTTGTCCAAATCAAGAAAACTTTACAGAGTGTCTTCAAAGACGTGTGTGATGTGATCGTTTGCAGACCTCATCAACATATTTCATTTACAGTCAAACCCGCTTCAACGGTCACCTGTCTAAGACAGTCATCAATACAAACAACCACTCTTACCACTCGCCCCTTTCCCTCTTCTCTCCTAGCGGTTTTTTTTATTGCGACGAGAATGTCAACCCGTTTAAGACAACAACCACTTTTCTCCTTGATGATGGATACCCATCTTGAACAAGTTCGACTGCATAATTTGTGAAGCGGTTTCTTTCAAACGTTTTCTTTATCAGTTCTAACCTGGTCTAAGTGGGATACCACATCAACTGTAGAAAAATGGAGGTTCTCAATAATATCCTAATGCTGTCCTCATATCGGAATCGAACTCAAGCCCTTTGCGTTGTGTGCGAGGCAAAGAGGCCGAACTACAACGGCATTGGCACCTCGTTAAGCCAGAATCACAAAGTTCTACCTGATATTTTTGGCTATTTAGAGTTACAAAGACCATAAGATCAGAAAACAAATGCTATATTATGCTTTATCAAAATCGTTACTATTATTTGGAGTCGTTATCAAGATTTCAATGAATTACATTCGAAAACTCTTGACATATTATTGGGAAACTCAAAATTTTCACATCAACTTTTTCAAAACCAGGTACTGAGCAGATAGAACCTTGTAATTCTGAGGTAGCGACCTGTGTGGCAACAAAATGTGGGGTGTTCATTTAGGGATCGGGTCGGGTCGGTTTGCTAGCCAGTTTGAGGGCGCAATGCGGCTATAGGAGCACAAGCCGATCGCACCCGAATTGTCGTCTAAAAAACAAACGTGTTTGTTTTCAGGCAACGAGTCGGGAGATCCCCCGACCCGACCCGACCCCACCCGATCCCATATGCAATGGACACCGGGTATAGACGTTGGGTGCAACCACTCGTTCTGCAATGGAAATAAATTTACATGACATCACTGCGGACAGCCAACCAAGAAAACAGAACTCCTTACAATTACACCACAGTGAGTGGGACAGTAAGTAGTGGAGGTGGGGAGAGGTTGGGTCGGTTTGGGAGAAGAGATCAGTGCTGAGGGGGGGGGGGGAGGGGGGAG